CTGAAATTGCTGTAGGAGAAAGAAATGCTTTCAAAATATGCCTCTGGAATAAGAGTTAGATCGACCCCTCCAAGACACTATTTCTCCCTGGACTTTGTATCGAAGACACCAAATAAAATACAACAAACATACCATACACTTTAAAAGTCCTTTACCTCATTTAATGTAAATCAAACAAGTAGAAAGGGAGAGAACACAAGATCTCATGCAGTAGGGAACAAACACCACCAAGTGTTTCTGCCAGCTTGACTACCAGTTTAATCCTCTCTAAATGAACACATTTCCAGAAATATTCCTCCAGAAATGTATTATATATCCCAGAATATTCCCTTATTCTTTTTTAAAAAAATCTTGTGTCCTAGATTTTAAGTGAAGATTAAAAAAATTAATAGATGTTTACAAAGTATTAGAATGGTAAATTTATGTAACTCTAGTAATCATTTCTTCCAGGAATAACGAAAATTCTCCAGTCCTTGTGAACCTCCACCCAGAACCGTACAATTATCAACATTCTGGAAGATTTCAGAAAGACTCAAGACATCGAGACAATTGAATTTTAAAGATACATAGCTAAGTGGTCACAAAATCTTCTTCCTATAGCAATAATCTCTGCTTCTCAGTCAATGTAACAAACGATTTTGAGAATTCTGGAGTTAGAAGGGGTCTCTGAGACGCAGACAAATCATGGCTTGCCAGGTCTCTAACTCCCTAGTTTGTACAACCAGGATTAGAACTCAAGTGTTCTAATTGGCAGGCATGTGGATTTTCCACGCTGTCATCCCCAAATTTCCAGTAATTTCATAGGCAATTGTAAAAAAAGTATGATTGCTAAAAAAAAATTCCTGCATGGGAGACATATATGGATGTTTACGTAGCATGGCTGCCAAACTGGGAACAATTCAAATGTCTTTTGGAAGGAGAAAAGAATAAATAGGATTTATTCATCTCACCTAATACACCAGTTCACATTCTGCTCATTGATATGCATCGCTCTACTGTAGGAACAAAGTTGTACAACAGGAATAGTATGACACCTTGAAGGGGAAATTGAGAGATATCACGTAAAACATTCTTCTGTGCAAATATGTATTTTGCTCCACAAAATTGTAACCAGTCCTCAGCATGTTTTAATAGTTCAGAAAAGCTACAAATAATACAAAGAGAAGTTATGTTTGTTACTACTAGTGACAAGTTTAAGGCTTTTCAAAACCACTTGCCTTTACATGTAATGTCTTTCAAATCTTGAGCTGTTGGTGTCAATTTTCTCATTCAAGTCCTATTAATAAAATTCATATTTACTTCCTGCGATCATTAATTAGTTTTATGAGAGAGAGAGAAAGAGAGAGAGAGAGAGAACAAGCACTCTCAGGACATCTTGAAGAATTATTTTTCTTCCTGAATTAGAGGATCCTTTATTAATAAGTTAACATTAAAAGGAAATCTGCTTTAGGATACTGTCCAAATTCAATTAGATAATTATGATGCGATTTGCTTCTTTGTGTTGTGGTTGTACTACTTAGAAGTATTAAAAGTTAGAGGAAGCTTTCTTTGGTGGTTGCTGTAATAGACTCTTATTTTTCAGATGGCCCAAAGGAGAAAAATTATTTCCTTAAAGGAGATGGAGCCAGTTATAAGTAGGCTGACCTGGGATAAGGACCCAGGCTGCTAACTAGAACTCTTTAGACTACATACCATATTGTTTCTCTTGTATCACAAACTGGGTCCACATAACGCCCAATCCCAAAAGACAAACTAATCAGCCCAGTGATGCAAACAAACGATCACCCCAAAACCCCAAATACTAATTCATTGCTATTATAATTTCAAACCAGTTTGCCAAATACTCTTTTCCTTTTTGACTGGTTATATGCACATTGATATATCTTTGTATCTCTAGCATACCTCTGGAGCTTTGTCATGAGTATGTGAATCTTATGTATATTTCAATTATGTATATATTTGAGGGTGTGTGTGTATTTGAAGCCTGCAGGTTGTAATGATACTTTGGGGAAACTTCTTGCTGCCCTTAGGTTTCTGAATCTCCATCTGGAAACTAACTAATATCCATTACATAATGTACATGGGAGCATTAACACTCTTGACCCAGTGGGCTATTTAAGCTCTGAAAACATTATAATTGTTCTACAAATTTGCAAGATGTGATTTTAGAGATGCTATTGTCTAAAGGGAAAATCTTCCACAATGCCTGGAATAAGTCCCCTTCTGGGACTTCACTGAAAGGGGAAGCACTTAACAGATATTTTTATCTGGGAGATCCTTCCCTCTGGGGCACACATATTGACTATTTTAACTTTCTGGTCAAATAATTCTTACTCATTTCCACGGGTATTGTAACAGTTTAAAATTAGAATTTCCAGCACTTTCCTTTTATCAAATACATTATTTTCCCAATCCCTTGATTTTGGAATCATAGCAAATATTTCCAGTTATATCATTAGACACAGAATTATTTTTAAAAGTTGACTCTCTTCAACTCTAGTATGTTGTCCTTTATGTAGGCAATCTTTCTTTCCTTTTAAATTATTATCCATGTATATCTCAAAATTAATAAAAAGGAATTTTAAAACTAATACAATAAACATTTTGGTAGAACCAGTTTGATCCACCTAGATAGATCTTATGTAGTTGCCATTATTTTTCCCTATGGCCAGCCATACATACATTTGGCTCAGCTGTCATTGTTTTTATTCTCTTAATAAAATCTCTATAGGAAATCACTTCCTTTTTATAATGCAATTCCAGATTCGGTTTAGCTGATTTGGTCAGTTGGTTTATTTGCTTCTCCCAGGGGCAAAAAAATATGTTATTTTCTAATTTGAGCTTAAAAAGATGGTCATAAAACTTCTGATCTTACCAGTTAGTAAAACTAAACAAATTTGGCTCTAGCCAGGTTTTGGGAAAACTCAAAAAAATTCAGGTGCTTCAGGAAGAGAGGTTTGTAATTCCAGTTGTTTAGCTCCTGCCTTTGGAGTATTCTCTGAATTGTGTTGGAGTATGTTATTGCGTTGCTGTGAACTACTGCTGCCAATTTCCACCCTAGAGATGGCTATATTTCAGAGATGACTGAAATGATACTTGTAAACAAGTTTATAATCATTAATAAAGCTTACCAAACAATTTAAGCTCTTTAGAAACACACATCCACTAATATAATTAATTGCCTATTGTTTATTTAATTAAAACCTTTAATAGAGACATGAAGACTTTTAAAAATGCAATTTATAAAAATTCTAAACTTAATTAAATTTTATTTCATGATGCTTCTTTTGTTTTGGTAAGTTTCAGGTGTCAAATTATTTCTCTCTGGAGATCCTGGTGAAATTCTACTATTGACCGTTCCAACGTACTCTTTAAAAATCCCTAAGAATATTTTTCTTTAAAGTTGACAACTACACACTCTGGGATCCAGATGCTATATTTGCAGGATGATGATTTTGTTCTGTTTTCCACACATGGTCTTTTCCTACTCTGTCTCTCAGGGATGGAAAATTCTGCCTTGAATGGAGAAGTTTTAAACTTTGCTTGAAAACGAAAACATAATACCTTACACTTTTATGGATATTTTAACTTTAAAAAATACATTTTCATCTATCATATTGCTTTACTCTCAAAATTATTTTTGTAAAGGGAAACAAGGCATTAAGTCATTCCTTAAGTTGTCTACTGTATGCTGGGCACTATGAAGGGATTGCATGATATGCAAGGCAGTCCAAAGACTTAGAATTTCCTTGGGAAGATAAGACATAAACAGGACTTAAGGAAACAGAGATCTATATAAGTGTCTCTTGTAACTGACAAATAGAGGCAAAGGGATCTTTTGCCATGGAGCTCACGGAGTCAGGTTGGAGTCCTGGACACCACGAAGATCCCAGTTTAACCCGTGAAAACAACTGAGGCTCAGGGAGGTAAAATGACTTGCCCAAGGTCACACAGACTGGTAGTGCCAGAGGTGGGGCTAGAATTAGTCTTGACGCTAATTCAGTGCCACCTGAGCTCTTTATTTATTTCTGAGACTTTTGTCATCTTTTATCTGCTTTCCTCTCGTCTGGGTAAAGGATTTCCAGTCAAATGATGGTCTTCTCTCTTTTCAAAAAGGAAAGAGTGGATAAAAGGTTGGAGAAAAGTGTGCTGTCAGTCAATGAAGAGGACTCATTCATTCCACCATCATTTATCGGATAAAATTATTTTACCCAAAGCCACTGCCATGCAAGGTACGGTACATCCAGGGTACAGCAAAGTCAGATTCCCCGCCCTCACAGGTCCCTAGTTCGGGCTGTCTCCGGGGACTTGATGACTTCCTTTCAGGAGCAGTCTCCAGCTCGCCGCAGGGCCCCTCTGCTGGCTTTGACAAGCCCCCTCGTCCCCAAGGGTCCAACACTGGGCCAGGCCCCAGCAGCATCAAGCTACAGACGTGGAGCCTTAGGCCACAACGCACGCGCCGCGCGCCCCCGGTCGCCACGGCAACCAGGCGGCACCGACCCTTGACCTCGAGGCCCCGCCCCTCGCGTTCCCGAGATCAACATGGAGAAAGCCAACCCGGAAGTGCCGTCGCCGCCCGCCGGGTGCTAGGAGCCGGCGGCCGGGCCAGGCTGAGCCCCGCGCCCGCTGCCTGCAGCCCGCGGCCGGCTCCGCGTCCTGCCGGTGCCGGGCGGCCAGGTCCCCCGCCCCAGTCGCACTCCGCCCCCGTCCCTCTCCACCCCCGGGCGACCCGCCCCGGCCCCAGAGGAGGAGCCGAGGCGAGGGGGAGGAGGAGGGAAGGAGGAGGGAGAGGTTTGCTTGAGGGAGCGAGGCCGCGCGAGCCGCAGGCGGTTCGTATTACCGGGGTCGGGAGGAGGAGCCGGGCCGGGCCGACGGACGGGTGCGGGGCGGGCGGGAGGCACGGAGACCGAGGCCGCCCGGCCGCAAGGAGGCAGGCGGGAGGCTGGGGGTGCAGAGTCGGGGCGGGGGCTCCCTCCCGCCTCCTCGGCCCTCCGCCGGACCCCGGTGGCCAGGCCTCACCTGTCCGCAGGCCCGGGAGCCGCCCTCCGCCGACTGCCGTGCCCCGGGCCGGTGCCGCGGGAAGGTGGCTACGCGAGGCGCAGGGGCCCGCTCGGAGGCCTGGACGGCGCGGCCAGGTGATGGTGGGCCCCTGTGTTTCTCGAGAGGAAAGGGCACCCCCAGAGCAGCCGTGTCCCCGGACTGCCCCAGTGAGGCATTTTGACATTACCCTTTGGGAAGTGAGCCGCCCTGAACCTGTCTCCGTTAAGTGTCCTTAGGATGCAGTGATTAAGGAATTAGGCTTTCCCTCCGGGAGGGGCACTGCCTGCGCCTGCGAACTCCATAAAGAGAAAAAGGACAGAATGATGCTGTCCGAGCAAGCCCAAAAGTGGTTTCCAACCCACGTGCAGGTCACAGTGCTTCAAGCCAAAGATCTGAAGCCAAAAGGCAAAAGTGGCACCAATGACACATACACTATAATTCAGTTGGGCAAGGAAAAATACTCCACTTCTGTAGCTGAGAAAACCCTTGAGCCAGTCTGGAAGGAAGAGGCCTCTTTTGAGCTACCTGGATTGCTAATGCAGGGGAATCCAGAGAAATACATTCTTTTCCTCATAGTTATGCACAGGTCCCTGGTGGGTCTGGATAAATTTTTAGGGCAGGTGGCAATCAATCTCAATGACATCTTTGAGGACAAACAAAGAAGGAAAACAGAGTAAGTTATGTAATTTATTTTGAATTTGGGGGAAATTATATCTCATCTATCTGTTTTCTGTACTTGGCAATTATTTGTGTACTTGGGGCATTGGTTTTTTTCGATTGAAATATGACCCGGTTTGAAGCACCATATTTGCATGAATCTGAAGTAAAAATAGCCCTTGTAATGAGACTTTTTAAAAACGGAATCATTAATTTGAATATTCTGCACTGGATTTTAGGTAAATTAAATTGTTTCTCTCTTAAGCGGGCTGGATGACAGTGTTGACCAACTAGAACTTAATATGAGTAAAAATTATGATCCTTAAACGTTCTAATTTTCTGTGAAATGGAAGATCAGAAAGTTAAATCTGCCAGTGTAATGTTTATATTTTGAACTCTGTGGCTGTCAAAGAGAAATGAGCAGATTTAGAACTCAGTATTTCATTGCAGCGTCATTCACAGCTTTTATTTTTTAAGCCCATTTTTCAGGGTCAGTACAACTTGATGGAGTCTAAAACTGTTAAAAGAAAGTTCTAAAAGTATGTACAAACATCTTACCTTGAACACGCTAACATTTCCCTTTGAATTTGCCTTATACCGGAGCTCTCGTATTACTTCTGAATTAGTTCTGCAGAGCTAGTGTGTTTGGGGAGCCCGCAGCCATCCGATTTCAAGATGATTCTTTTTTAAACACCAGAGGAGGCAAGAAAAGCTTCATCTTTCTCTGCTGCATCCTTTTTAATAAAATGATTTGTTCTGTGAAATCTGGATTCAGTCAAAAGGCTGCATGCGTAAGGACCCAGAAGGCCATATGTGGCCTTAAGGCCTCAGGTTCCCCATCCCTGAATGCTGTAAGATTTGGAGATGATGGTAAATTCTTGTGATGAAATGATTTAATGACATCTTCAATGAAAGCATGGCCTTTTTAGTATGACTTTTGAGCTTCAGTTAGATATATTATAATTGAAAAATCAAAATATAAATACTAGGATATTGTGCCTTAAATTGAAAAAAATGTTTTCAGAAAGGTATACTCACTCTTTCCTTAAATTTTTTAGTTTGAGAGAACATTAAGGGAATTAATGGGAGAAAAGTACAGGTTGAACTTACGAGAGGACTTAAGATTTCTAAAATAATTTTTGGTGTTTCTATCATAATTGAATCTTTTTACCCTTTTAGAAACTTTTTTATGATGGTAATTTTCTTGAAGTTCATGTTAATTTCTTATATGTTAATACAACTATCTCTTGTTCTTTTCTATACATGTCTGTCTGCAAGCTTCTCTGGGAATTTTTTTTGTTTCATTTAGTATCATATTTTTTCCCTAAGATTTAATATATGTCGAATAAAAGAGTAGAAAGATAAATGCTAGGAATGCAAGAGGAAAATGGTAAATATTTAAATTAATTGAAGAGATGAAAATATTTGAAAAAGGAAGAAAAAGTGTTTTTAAGAAGTGTGAAGATAAATGTCGATCAAGATTTTAACAATAAAATTATGTGATACCTAAAAAGTGTCATTCACTTTCCCCTGAGGGGTTCTTCATCAAATTTAAAATGAAAAATGGGTAATTACCAAGTAATTTGTTTCAAATTGTCAATTTTGGGTGACAATATATAATATTTAAAGTGTTTTGTGAATGTAAACTTTTAAGTATAATGTAACTTCAAATTTTTTACTGCATTTACAGTACTTTTAATATTAATGAATAACACATTTCAGGCCTTCTCCAAAACATAAATTTTCCAAGTGAAAGTAGGCCCAAGTGAGAACTCAGAGATTCTCAGAATGAAATAACTTTTTCAGATTTCTTTTTGTTTTATTCTGTGTCTTTGACTGCATCACAGTTAGAATAAATTTTGGCATGAGCTGCACTCTAATGTCAGTCTCTACAGAAATTCTCTCCTTTCTACTATATAAAATTGATTAGAACTTTTGAGGGGAAAATGCTTTTAAATTTTATCAGGAGGGCCTGTGATGTTATTGCAGTCAAAGTGATTTTCATATATTATTAAACCCTTAACATTTTACTTTGTGGATAAATGGGGACCACATATTTGATGAGGTATCTTTATTGGTAATAGTTCCATTTTTTAAAATATATTTAATAGCTTCCTTTTCTAGCACAGCTGTACATGTGGCACAGTACGAGACAGACTTGAGCCACCCATGTAATGCAAGAAACATATTTAATATTCCACACATTGCTAAACCTTGTCAGCATATCCCAAGTGCTTTTAGAAAACTGATTTGAGAGCTGATTTAGAAGTCCCATGAAACTGCTAGGTGTGACACGTTTTACTTTTTGACCCTGACGACATGTCTTTACAGCTTGTCTTCCAGTTGTGTCCCATAGGCGAAGAAACGTGAGGGCCAAAATTTGTTTACTTATTTTTATACTTTGACAATAAAATACTTTTTTTTTCTTTAGAGGAAAGGGGAGAAAGAGCCTGAGTTAGAACCCTCTGAGTGGGCTTGGAAAGAGAGCTTCTGTCTTTCTCTCTTTAATGGACGTCTGGCTGGGTTCTGGCATGAGATTTAAGGAAATAATGCAGTGTTTAATAATAGAATGGTAAAATCATTGATGCTGTTATATAATATTGATTTTTTTACAATAGAAGTAGGTGATGCTGAATTTTTCTTTTTTTAGTGCTCATGAAAAGTAATAATCAGTCTCTAGAGTTAGATATGACTCAAACTTATGCAGATTTTAGGGCCTGGAAGAGTCTCTGCAGTGCACCTGTGTCCTGGCCTCTGGCACCCATACTGCCAATCTCATCCCATTTCTGACCACACAGCACCGATTGCTTGGGAATAGTTCCCACATGTGTAGTGGTTTTTGAACATGGACCTGTGCCCACTAAAAATTGAACAGAGGCCATATACAGTTTAAATCCAGTACTCCAGAGGTGAAAAAAAAAAAAAAAAATCAGCATTAATCCAGTAAGCCCTCAATGCTGTGTCTTCATTTTATCTTCTTGGATCCTGGGAAAGCAAATGCTATCTCTGGAATGATTCTTGATCTCATTTAGGCTTCCCTGTTATATCAGTTTCAAAACAAAGCAGCTCAAGTTATTTGTCATTCCTACATTTTCAGTTATATTTGTTGAAATTCTTTGTGGGTTTGTTTTCTTGGTGGGGGGCAGAGAAGAGTGAGGGGGGGCTTATACTCTATTTACAATTATATTCAGCACTGACTTTGTTGTTTAAAACCTTACCTAGGTCTTAAGAATTTCCTACTAAAAATCAAAACAATACAAAACACATGCACGATGTTGTAGCTAAAAATAAAAATTGAATAAACATTTATTTAGTGCAAGGCAAACTGCCTTCATGGAGCTTTCACTCTGGTAATAGAAAAATTGCATTGTTTTCCTTTTCAGCTATCATGTCTCCTGATTGAACACACTGTCCTGAAATGTGTGCCAGCCATGTGGCTAACTGTACTAACATATGTAGTTCATCAAATGAGAAAGAACTTCAATTTTTCTGCAGATGTTATTCATCAACTTTAGATTTTTTTCCCTTATTGACTTTAATCTGACACTGGGAAGTTACGTATCATTCTTTGTGCCTCAACTTCCTTATCAATGAAATAAGGATGTTAAAGTAGAGGATTTACTTTTTTTTTTTTTCCAGAATTCTGTGAATTTTGACTACCCTCTCCTCCTTCCAATTTTTGGGTTGTTGGTCTGTTTTCTTCCCAGACACTTTGATTTGAGTCCTTTCTTGCAAAGTGTGTTCACCTATTTTCTGTGTTGCCTGAGATGTTACAAAACATTTTTGAGATCTGTGTACCATCCGTCACAAGTATTTCTCCTCCTATTGAAAATGGCTCTGATTTCCAAAACTGAGTTAATAATTGGGTGTATAATCTTGTTTCATTTCTAGGCTTTTGAGTGCCCAATTTTGTGTTGTTCAGATTCTCTGTTCTACAGACTTTAATGCTGCTATTTCTTACTTCCAACCCTGTTTCTTTAGATTTTACCATTTGTCTCACATAATACATTTCCTCAGCTTAGGGTCTCAAGTTAATGCTTTCTGTGATATTCTATTCTAAAAAAATTGCTATTTTTTGATGAAACTATCTCTTCATTGATTAAATTGCTCCAAGTTGTCAATCAAGAAAATATTTCTCTTGCTTGTTACTTGCTAAGATGTAGTGTGTGTGTGTGTGTGTATGTCTATAAAATATGCCAGTTCTCTGTTCTTCCTGGGAAGACTTGCTAACCAGTCTTTTATTTAATATATATACAGTAAAGGTATCTCCTAGCATATCCTGTTGGTAACAATGAAAGAAAAAAAACTAACACAAAATTAGATTAGAGTTCCCTTGTGGCTAAGAAAATTTGTTACACGTGATTAGTGGTATATTTAATAATAACCTGTCTGCAAGAATGGATATTATGCTCAATTGCTGAGTAATGTGGAAACACTGTAGAAACTCTCTTCCAGGTTTGATTTTGCCGTTTTGTCTGTTTTCCCTGTTTGCCCTGTGGCCTGAGACCACTTGTGACACCCACAACTGGAGAATTTCTCGTGGATAAAACTATATAAATGATACCAAAATAAACATTTCTGTTATAAATTGTTTAAATATGGGCAGTGCAATACATTGAAATGACAACAAGTGTAGGATTTATCTCTATTTATAAAATAATTTTTATTCAGTGTTATCACAGTAGCCGTAGTGAATGAAGCAAAGCATTCTATCAGGAAGTACTTAGGCTTATTTTTTCTTTAAAAACTTTTCTTTTAAAATTTTTATATTTGTTTAAATTATATCTCGTTTTAATGATTAGCAAGCTATATGTAGTAGTCTTCAATATTAATAAAATTCTTTTATGCAAGTAATATTTGGGGGTAGAGACTAAGTATGGATTTTTTATAATATCCCCAGTATTTGTCATTTTATAGTGTTCAAAAATAATTTGTGCTGATGAGTTCTTTAAAATTCTCTGCCTTGAGAGTGTCTTTTAATGTTAAAAGTGTTTTCAGCAACACTTATACTATGTAGAAACATATTAGCTATCATTGATAGGAATTTTTGATAATGAGAGATTTTCAGATCCCAAAAGAAAAGGTCATCTAAAAACCTTTGCAAACTTGTTAAAGACCCTTTTCTTTCAGTATATGTTTCATCACAGAAACTGATCACTTTTAAAAATCAAACACTGAGTAAAACTGCAAATACTCTGGCTGTCAGATTCTCAGTAGGTAGATTGCCTTGATGAGAAAAGCTAATTGTGTACCAGTATAGCAGAGCTTAGTATCTTCTCTTTGTTACATGTTACAACCCATTTTCCCTTCTCTTTAAGGTGGTTTAGATTAGAATCCAAACAAGGAAAAAGCGTCAAAAACAGGGGTGAGATAAAGGTCAATATTCAATTTATGAGGAACAACATGACAGCAAGTATGTTTGACTTATCAATGAAGGACAAAACAAGATCTCCTTTTGCAAAATTAAAAGATAAAATGAAAGGTAGAAAAAGTGATGGGACATTTTCTGATACGTCTTCTGCAATCATTCCAACTACTCACATGCCCGATGCCAGTACTGAATTTTCAAGTGGTGAAATGCAGATGAAATCCAAACCAAAAAAGCCTTTTCTTTTGGGTCCTCAGCGACTCTCATCAGCGCACTCAATGTCTGATTTATCTGGGTCTCACATGTCTTCCGAGAAACTGAAGTCTAGCGCCATAGGTCAAACACATCTTCTTGGACGCCAGATAGATTCCTTTGGAATTGTTCCAGAAAGTGGTAAGTCACACATTCTTTCTAATTGTATCTGCAGTGGTTTGAAATACACTTGTGTCCTCAGTGATCTAACCACACTTTTAAAAGTTTAACTTCTGATGCTAGAAAATACAAATTGCACATACAAGTTGCACTTGGAAATATTTTTTAAATGTAGTGGTTTATAATATTGATTAGCTGCTATATCTGAAATTGGTAAGTTCATTGAAGGCATTTGTATTTATGTTATTTGATATTAATAAAATGAGTCTCGGCTCCTTTTATGGCCTGGCTTTTTTTTTTTTCTTTGCAGTTTTTGGCCAGGGCTGGGTTTGAACCTGCCACCTCCGACATATGGGGCTGGCACCTTACTCCTTTGAGCCACAGGCGCTGCCTTTTTTTTGTTTGTTTGTTTTTTTGAAGTGCTATTTCTCCAGTCTCAGAAGCATACAGCATAAGTGAATACTCCATTTTATCATAAAGTCCCTAGAAAAAAACATGTTTAGAAGTAAGAAAGTAAATTTAATGCTAAGGATAGAAAAAAAAGTCTTTGAGATTTCCTAGCATTATGGGGCTAAGCAGAACCTCTGGTTTTGACATTATACACTTTATATGATTGTGAGTTGAATAAATCATTACATTGTCTAACTATACACTAATTATTATTAGCCCAGATACTTCTGACTGCTGTGCCTTAGCATTTTAAGATTGTTTTCCTTGGTTATTTTGAAGCTTAATACCTTTCCATAGCTAATTGCTCTCATTCTAAAAGCAGCAGAATATACACAGGTTGTGTCAAGTAGTATGAAATAATGTGTGGCTGCTGACGTGCTAACTACAGAATTGTTTGTAGGAAGTCTCAAATCTCCACACAGAAGAACATTAAGCTTTGATACTTCTAAAATGAACCAACCTGACAGCATCGTGGATGAAGGTGAATTGTCTTTCGGAAGACAAAATGACCCATTTACAAATGTGACTGCTTCATTACCCCAAAAATTTGCAACACTGCCAAGGAAGAAAAATCCATTTGAAGAAAGCAGTGAATCGTGGGACAGCAGCATGAATTTATTTTCAAAAACAATTGACGTAAGAAAAGAAAATAAAAGAGAAAAAAGGGAAAAAGTTAGCCTGTTTGAAAGAGTTACTGGAAAAAAAGATAGCAGAAGATCTGATAAACTTAACAATGGAGGATCTGACAGTCCTTGTGACTTAAAATCACCTAATGCATTTAGTGAAAATCGTCAGGACTATTTTGATTATGAGTCAACTAATCCGTTTACAGCAAAATTCAGGGCTTCAAATATAATGCCATCTTCAAGGTAAGCTCAATGTGGGGGAAATTGTATTATTTGGGAAAATCTTGTACTTGAAAGTATCAAACACTTTTAAAAAATATTTGATAATTTTAAATTCCTTTTATTTTACTAGAAAACAATTCATATTTTTATAGATGATAGACCCAGGCAGCATTGCATACATCTTTGAAATTGAACTTTTTATTTTAGAAGGATAACAGATTCTTATTCCCTACCTTAGTCTACTTAGACTTAAGCGAGCGAGAAGCTCACTGAAATTTAAGGAAAAGTGAACATGGCTTTCGATTAGACATCAAAATCACCAGGAGATTTTAATTCGGGCCAGGAATTTAAGTGGTATCTTTCTAGATCTTTTCCAGGGATTTAGTTCATAGACTGGGGAGGATTAGTGGACCAGTAGCAACTCATGGGCTATTCTTTAAGAAACACTGACCTAAGTGATGATTTTCATGATAAATACTAACTGTTCTTATAAAAATAGCTGTACATAAGCAGTTTTTACTTGAGAATGTTGTTTATTGGAATTCATTAACGCGAATGGATACTATAAATAACACCAAAGGAATTTGTATGCTGATTTATAGTCACAGAAATAATAGTTATCATGGTAAAGACTAGATTTTCAAACTCTGAGTTCTCAGTTATTTATATGTATATATATAAAGTGGTGCTTACTATTGAGGTATTAAGGAACCAGGTGTCAGGTCCCTACCGAAGAATGGTTACTGGTACCAAGTTGACAGAATGAATGAGCAGAGCAAGCAGGTGCAAACAGGCAAATGCCAAAGTTTTATTAAAGGTTAAAACATAGTACATTCCAAAGAAGGAATCCCCCCACCCTCACCCCACACGAGTGGGTTTAATAGTCAACTTTCTATATCTGAGGGTTCCACATTTACAGGTTCAACCAACCCTGGATCAGAAATATTAAAAGAAAAATACAATTAAGAAATACAAATTTAAAAACAATATAGCATAACAACTATTTATATAGCATTTACATTATTATTAGGTGGTTTATGTAATCTAGAGATGATTTAAAGCATATGGGAGGATATGCATAGGTTATACGCAAATATGACATCATTTTATATAAAAGACTTGAGCATCCATGGATTTTGGCATCCTCAGGGTTCCTGGAACCAGTCCCCCAAGGATACCAAGGTCTGACTGATTATTATGGAAGAACATGGTAAAATGTTTGCCATGTAACAGAATTTTCCCTCAAGGTCTTCATAGTGTACAGACCTAAATGGGAATCCTAACTTAGAAGTGCAATGACCTCTATAAACCTCGGACTCTCCATCTATGAAATAAGAAAAATAATGCCCACTTGATAGGATTCAGTGAGGATAAATGATATGTAAAGTACATAGTACAAATCCAGGTTCCAAATAGAGAACACATAAGTGGTGATGACTATGTATTATCATATATTTTATTCAAAAACAATGCTTCATTTTGTCCCACTGTAAACAGAAAATACAGTATAAATAATCACCCTTTTAGGCTGTGCTCTTCCATCTCTTTCTTGTGTATCTTTTATGACATGTTAAAAAAACACAGATTTAAAATTTTCACAGAGAAATGTGCATTTCTTTTGTTTTATCAGTAAATGGGTATTGGCTGTTTTAGGAAGTACCCTTCAGTTTTGTTTATAGACTAAATGCTGGAGAAATACATTTTTATTGTATGATATCAATACTTTATTGAAGAGCTCATAGTTTGGATGTTATTCTAAAGTGTTTTATTTTGTTACATTACACAGTGCATTTTATGTATTGCAATAAATCTTGAATGATAGGGGTAAATAGAAATATATTTGCTTTAATAGAAATATATTTGCTTTCTCCCCTTTACCGAACTTTTTTTGCAGAAGATTGTTGGAAACAACTGTCTGAGATAAGTTGGAGATTGGGTAATTTAGATTACTTTAGAGTCAGAGAAAAGCAAGAAATGAGAAATAATAGGAAAATAATATTTTTAAATTATGATAGCGTATGGAAAAATAAGTATCCTCAGATTTTTAATTGCCCTGTACATGGGCTGTTTACATGGACTGCCATGAATTTTAAAAGTGAGCATGCCATTTTGACAGATTTGGGCTTTATTTTGGATTACTTAGCTACTGCTTTTATCAAATTTAGGGCTGTTTTTATGACATGTATAAAATGATTGTAAGTTTGTCAAACTTTTTCCCCCAGTTTTAAGTCTGTGTTCTCTTCTTCTTCGTATCCTTGAGATGCTGGAGATGAGGATGGAACTTTTACAGATTCCTGGGCAGTTACTTATATATTTTTTGACACAGTAAAGGGTAGCTCAACATCATAGTGTAAAATAGAAGGATTGAATATAAATTAGACCTAGGGAGAACACAGTTCACATTTTTTGGCAAAAAGCTTTATCTTGTGTGGAATTTAGAAAGATATTGTCAAGATAGCAATATACCAAGTCAGACAATTAGGTTTGCGAAATCTTCCTAGAAAATGTGTTGCATACCTCATTGCTGAGTATTACTAAGATTACTTTTGAAGTACTTACCTTGGCCATCTGGTGGTTTTAGTGATATTTAGCAATGAAGTATGTGGCACTTTTTCTAGGATGAGCTTGCACTTAATTGTCAGACCTATGATGGACATTCCAGGAAAAAAGCTTCAGAATTGCTTGGAAGGGTGGACTGGGCACTGGAGTCAGTGCATAGCATACCGAAGGTGACTGTAGTGATATTCAATTAAGCAGTTGAGTTATGTAGCACTTTTTCTATGATGAGTTCATGAACTTAATTGTCTGACCTCATATTTCCAACTGATACTCTCTCATATTCCCAAGGTGATATTGATCTTCCCAATGTCATCTCTCAGTTATCTGGGACATGTAAAATTTCCTGTATCAATATCCAAACCAAACATACTTTTGAATCTGTAGACTCAGCACTAGGACACGTGCTGTGAATTATTTTTCTAGGAGTGCTAAATGGATTTATTTATAGAATTTCCCGATTTCCTGTGACTAGCACTTGTGAGAATGCTGAGGAGTTAGAGTAATGTATGTAGCTGTGGACCCGGATTTTGTTGTGGGTGAATGCACCAGCTTGCTATGATTACAGGTACCTAGGAACCATATTACTGCCCTCTGAGTGAATAACGTGTGTGATTCAAACTGGAGAATTCTTTATGCCCCACATTTCTAAGGGTACTAAGAAGCAGTTTTTTAGAAGTTAGAGTTTTTATTTCTCCATGTAAGTAAAGTCCACCTTAGAAATCACCTTGGAAATCACAAAAACACTGTCTTTTGCTTTTGATCTTGGAATAGGATGCAAAGCTTCACATAAAAATGGTAGAGGAGTTGGGTTTTATGTTGGGGAGCTCTTTGCAACTGTTTTCCTCCCCAGGTTCTAACTCACAGTGTTTACATGTCATTTCTCTGGAGCACTTCCTGACATCTAGGAAGTGGTGGTTGTCCTCGTGCTATAGTGTTTCCTTACACATGGCCATGACCTTATTTACTAATAGCTAAGTCAATTTTCTTTCTTACCATCATGAACAGATTGAGGGAGAGGCTTTCATTTCTTTCATCTTTTTGCCCTTAATCTCCAGCATGATGCTTGGTTGGTGTTACAAATGTTGAATAAATGAATGGAATATAGTAGACCAGTTTCCTAAAATGCTACTTTCATTCCATTAGTCTTTTGTTTCCAGCCCAGTATGAGCTGTGAAGATCTTTCTGATAGACTGAAAACAGATCAATAATGGCAAATGTATGTCTTTTTATGTATAGTTAAACATTGTTAAAAAATATAAATGAATTTTAAAGGATTACTAAATTTTAATATTTATAATCTAAGTAGCATGTTTCTGATATCTGTAAGAACTCTGTATCAGGGTAGGTCAGCAGCTGCGATAAAACCACAGCACGACTTTATCACGTGCTCTTGTCACAAAACAGCTCACTGAGATGGGGGTGGAAGAGGTGGGTGCTTTGCTCCCTGGATCCATCTAGCTGTACAGTCTCTCTGGAACTAGGCTTCTTCCTTCCTTTGATGCTACCATTTAACACTCAGCTTCTAAAACCAGTGCAGCAGGGGAAGAGAGTGGATCACAGGGGAGCCTTTCTGTGTGCCAGGCCTAGCATTGTGTGCGTTGCTTCCATACACGTCCTGCTGGCCAGAGCTCAGTCATGTCCCAGCCTCACTGCAGCGGTGAAGAATGATGGTTTAGCTGTGTACCCTGAAGGAAGCTGGAATGGGTTTAGTTTGCGTAGAGCATGTGTGTGCCGTCAGTGCCAGATTGGCTTTCTGCTGCGAGACTCCTGCTACACATTACTTGTAAGTGTAGCTGCGGTGCTCATGATTTTCAGCAAAGTTTTTATCCATTTATTGCTGGTGTTGAGTTTTTGTTTTAAAAGTGCTGCTACTCTTGCTTTTTAATCATAAATCACAGGTAGTTTAGAATCAGTATCAACTACTTTTTTGTCAATATCTGTCAAATAAATTGTCAACTAATTTGTTATATGGTTTATCCCACAATTTGAAAAGTAATGGTTTTTTCATCAGCAGTATATCATTTCTAAAAGCAAATAATGTGTGGATGTTATATTGTTTTTAACAATTTGCTCACAATAGCTTATTTTTAAACAAATTATAAATGATTTAACAAATAATTACAAATAATGCAAAAATAATTTTCCTAATTATTTTTAAACAATGATTTAATGTTGGGCTTTTCTTCTCAGAAATGATGGGTGCTTTCAAACCAAAGTTGTTGGTTGGTTCTTTTTTTTAAACTGGGACATAGCTTAGACCCTGCAGTTAGGTGAAGACACCTGACCAAGGTGTCTAACTGGCTTGGTAAGGAGTAGTAAGAGGTGTATACACTTCCAGGTCCCGTTTGTGGATTGCCCTCTTACAGTCTTCCTTATTGCCTCTCTTCCTCCACACCTTGGACCAAGATCGGCAAACTGGGCTTGGGGACCAAACCTAGCTTGCTCTTTGTTTTGTAAATAAA